TCATATCCTCCCCAAAATTTGTTTTTTCGACGGTATTCAATTATATTTTGGTCAGTTGCTTATCAAAAGTAAGAATAACAAATTACGAAAATAATTGTGCCTTCTCTCCCTTTTTATTAGGGTCGGGAAACGGTGCGGTCTGGTCAAGATCAGACCATATAAATCGTTTACTATCTAGGTCGAGAGACTAAAATATAGACCAGACCGCATACTATATATACAGTCCAGACAAGACCATACCTGTGTGGTCTGGTCCAGACAAACCAAATTGAACAAAAAATGAACAATTTGTTAAGGGGACTGCTACCATGACAACCCCTAAGGGGGTTGTCAATTTCTCTTCCCCACTCGTTGTCGTCCGTCCTTCTAGTCCTACATCCAATGGGTGAAGATGGCCAGGGGCAAAAAAGAGAGGTTCCACACTGGATTGGGATCCTCCTAGTTTTCTTACGCAAGCTTATTTTTTGAAAAGGCAGAGAAATCGGGGGGAGAGAAATTAGCCACCCTCCCCGCCGAACCTTTCATCTCCCTGCCTCTCCCAGAAACCCTTTCCTCCGTCTTCTCTCAAAGACTCCCCTTTCCCAATTTTCGATTGGTGCACCCCCAGAAACCATTTTCCTCCGTCTTCTCCCAAAGACTCCCTTCCACCGTCTCCGATCGTTTTTTAGCGGCGGGTCTTGAGTGTGAAGACTTTGTTGTTTGAGGCAGAGATAGTTCAGGTACAACCACAACTTTTATAGGGATTTTTGTGGTCCTTCTCCATTGATTGCTTTCCCGTCCCGATTAGTCGGCACTTTCGCTCCTCCCCACTTCGTCTTTTGGTATGAAATTCTGGTTTGCTAACCTAGTTTTTTATCTCCTTCTTATTAAGTGAGTAGGCGAACCTCCTTCCGCCGTCGTTCCTTTATGCGCCTGTGAAGTCAATCGGCGGTGAGATTTCTTTACATTACTGGTTTTTGTTTTCTGGCTGCAACGTTGGAATAAGCCACATGTAGGCCTGTGTTTTTTGTTTGACGTGATTGTTTGGTGTTGATATGATCCACTGGCAGTCTTAAGAATCGTCCCAGTGGTAGTGGTAGTTGTGGTACTGGTACACACCACTTTTATTGATACCAGCAACATTCTTGTTTGTTAGTGGTAGTATTTTACCAGTACCCTTCTACATTGCTAGTAGTAGTGAAGAATCGTAGGTTGTGATAGTTGTGGTACTGGTACCCACAACTTTGACTGGTACCAATAACATATTAACATTCTTGATTGTTAGTAGTAATATTGTATCAGTAACATTCTACATTGCTAGTAGTACTTACATCCAAATCCAATCTCCTTGGAGAAGAAGTGCAGTCCGACTTCAATCATTGAGATTGTGGAGGCCGGTATTTCAGATGAGAGAAAGACGCTTATCAAGAAGATCGGGTAGGTTGTGTGCTCGATTTGAAGATGAAACAGTTTGACATCACATTGTTGTGTTGGATTACCAGACTATTTGATGAGGAGACAAAGTCGATAACTATGGAGGATGGGGGGCAGCTGACCTTTACTAGTTTTTTGGTGTTTGTTGTCTTTAATTTGATCTTGGACAAAGTACTGTTGCTTACATTGGCACAATTGGTTTGGTGTTTGATTGTGAAAATTCAGTACCTTCTCCCTAGTTGTTTTTTAACTACATACTTGGGCACTTGTGGTTTTAGAGATAACCCTTCACTGATACCTTTTTTAGCTGTCTGGTACCAAAGCAATGTCACTGGTACCAATTAAAAGTTATTGGTACCAAAAAAATGATACGCGTACCAAAGCAATGTTACTGGTACCAAAATCATGACACTAGTAGCATTACTGAGACCGGTACCAAATCAGGGCTACTAGTAGCATTATTAAAAGCGGTTCCCAATCATTGGTACTAGTATCTATTACTAATTCACAATAGTAAGTCGTCGTCGAAATTAATTCTACTAGTTCAGCTAAATCTGTATCAGTGAAGATTTAAATAACAGATGCATTAGCAAATCGAACAATTTAACCTGCACCAGTATCCCGTTAACACTAGAGAAGTACCACTAACTACTACTAAATGACTACCGCTAAGGGGGTACTAGATGACTACGTTGCTACCACTAAAAATGTACCAGTAAATGACTACCACTAGGAGCCTACCACTACAATAATACTACCAGTAGCTAACTTGAACCATAACTACTGGTACATTTTTCACAAAAAATATTGTACCAATAGTAAAATGGTACAACTGCAACAAAAGTCATAACGGCACAGGTAAATCCTACCGCCATTGTTTCCGTCCACGCCGTAGTCGACATCAACGCCATTGTCTGTGTTTTTGTACCGTTCAGTATGATCTTCTCCAGAACGTCGTCAACGTCCACCATGCACACATCATCGCCATTCTCTGTCGGGTCCGTCTACTCAGCTACACAGTCATATATATCATCACCGTTGATTGTTAGTGGGACGTTCAGGTCGAATCCAAATATACACGTAGGTTTCGCTCCCCCCCCCCCCCCCCTTCACTGTCGTCCTTGTTGCTCATGTAGTCGTCCATGGCTATGGCGGCCGTCGTGTCACTGGTATTTACCGTAGCTAGATGAGGGGTCTGGTTTGCTGAGGGAGAAACCATAAATGGAAGGGAAAGAGTGTCAGTCCACACCGTTTCTTCCGCTCCCCAAATCACGTCCCCCAATCACATTCCTAGATTCTCTCCATGCATTTAAGTTTCAATTTAAATTATTAGGATTGGGTGCTTACTAAAAAGCCCTTCCTATAATCCTGGCCGCTGGATGAAGAAGGGAAATGGACGGCAACGAGGGGGGAAGAGAGATTGGCAACCCCCTTAGGGGTTGTCACGCTATCCGCTCCCCTTTGTTAAGTCAACCACACTAAAAATTGAACCAATAACTGTGAAAAAAAAAATGTTTTTGCCTTAAAAAATAAAATCCAACATGCATGAATAATATTGACTCCCTAAATTTTAGTAAATAACACAGACACAAAGTCAAAGAATCTCATCTCGCACCATAACGTCACAAACATTAACATAATGTCATATGGAGACACGAGCGTCTCTATTCTCTAGTGAAATGTGGTTCTCAGTGAAGGTGGGGACGAGATTCTCAAAATTAAGGTTGAGACTTGAGTCTCGTTGAGGGAGTTGTGAGAGTGTTCGAGTGGGATACTAACATGACTGGGAAGTCGGGTAGATCAACAGTTTGGTCCGGTAAACCGCAGTCTAGACCAGACCAGACCAAGAGATCAAAACTTCATATAATACAGACCATGGACCAGACCAGACCATTCTTCACCGTCTACGGTCCGGACCAAACTGTGCGGTCTGGTTTGGTCCACATTTTTTCAAACTGTTTGGTCTATTTTCCCAACCCTACTTTTTATGGCGAACATGCCAAAAGAAATCATCAGCCAAGCTATAAGTTAAATTCTTAGTAAATAATTAGTCAAATGGACTATTTTAAATAACTTGTTTTGAGAGAATTAGTTAAATTATCTCGTCAATCACACATTTAATATCAGGCGGTTAATCGTAACCACATAGTCAGCTCTTGATTATTTTGTAGGTCAACCGGATAAAGATTAAGCAAATGATTAAGTAAGGTTATACAAAAATAATCGATCAATATCCTAACCAACAGAAGACCTTCTACTTTTTTTAATTGTGCATTTTTGTAGATTTTTTCCTACATATGTATGTGTTCTTTTTTAATTTTTTATCAATCAATAATCAACTCAATCCAAGACAAGTGTACAATAACACCATTCTACCGTCAAATTTGATTAAAGAGGCGGACAAGAATAAGAGACCCAACAATAATTACTCCACCAAATTACATGGAAGCTTAAATGTTATTGATTCCTGTCTAGCTATTGTGCGCAAGTTTAGCTTTCTATTGTGCTTCTTATAAAGCCCTTCCTTGAAATTATTTTCATTCGAACCTAAGTCACTATTACAACTAGGGTCGGAAATGGATCTTGTAGACCTTCAAACATCCCATTATTTTCTACCTATGCCTGAGGCTCGTCGAGATCTATTATTTTCGGCCCTAACTATAAGGATGGATGTAATCGGTTAGTCGGTCAACCGTTTAATCATCGGTTCGGTTAGTAACTAGTTAAATTTGACTACCAAGAACCGACAATTTATTGTTTAATTCGTTATCGACTTACCATTAACCACAAATTCCAATTCGGTTATCGATTACACCGCTAACAGGATAAGCTTTTATCAGCCTTGCTTCTAAGATATTGAGATATTTTTGCACTCGCGCAACCAACTATTGGGTGAGAAAGGAAGCCTATCTTATAAGGAAAATATTATATGCATTTTTAATTGAAAATCAACAATAATACCACTACCCTAAACATTTATTTAAAATACTATTAGAATCTAACTTATTGTTTGAAACTTCTATCCATACAGCCCAATTAGGCAATTACACTTTATTATTATTTATTATGCAACAAAAACAACAATTATAGTAATACAAATACTACAAGGCTTTCTGTTATATTAAACAAACCCCATCCGTCCGTCCATTATTTTGCAATATACAAATTGCGGCAGAGACAGAGGACCACCCACCCGCCCCTCCCTCCCTCCCTCCCTGTTTCCCCCTCAAACCAGACCAGAGCTTCTATAAAACGGCACCCACCCCATTCCTCCCACTCTCCCCCCCTCTTCACATTTTCTCTGCACCAATTACAATTGAATTGAAATTTGAACTCTCTGTTTCTGGCAGAAAGACCAAAACAGAAGAAACTTCACCCTTCAGAAATCCCCCAATTTCCCTCTCCCTTCCCAAATATCACCTCCTCCCTTTGAAATGGATTTGTTTGATCCCGATTTTCCTGCCAGGACAGAAATAGCAACACCGGCCGTCACTTACTTCACCTACATCCGCCGGCTCCACCTCATCGGCTTCCGAACAGCGTTCAGGGCCGCCGAATTCTCGGCGGCTCTGCTTCTCTTCCTTTGGATGTTCAACCGGCTCCCCGCTGCCGTCCAGATCTCCGGGGGATTCCTCCTCCGCCTTGCTGGCGTCGTTCAAAGTCCTCTCTTCGTTTTCCTCTTCTGCAACGCCATCATCGTCACGCTCATGCTCAAATCCGCCAGATTCCCCGCCGCGGACAATGCTGATGGCGAGGATCTCGTCGGGAACCTCGTCGAGAACGCCGACGGTCGCTGCCTTTCGAGGACGACGGTGCCGGCGAGTGGATTCACTGCTCTGCCGCCTGCGGCGGAGGAAGAGGAAGAGGAGGTTGTGTTTCAGGACAAGGAAGTCGTCAATGCCGTCGCCTCGGCCGTCGTCGAGTGCCAGGCCGATGAAATTGATTCTAAGAATGAAGTCAATTTCTTCTACTCTTCCGATTCCGACTCCGAATCGGAGGCGGAAAATCGGAAAGTTTTCCGGCGGACGAGGTCTGAGAATCTGCAGAGGAAGCGCGGAGATATGACGAAAAAGAAGCTGCAGAGGTCGGAGACGGAGAAGAGCAGGAAAACAGACGAAGGCGGCGGAGTAGGAGAGGATGAGCTGAGCGACGAGGAGTTTCAGCGGGCGGTTGAAGATTTCATCGCCAAGAATTTGAGGTTTCGCCGGGAAGAAACGATGGCGGTGGTGGTTCAGGGGCGGTGCTCCGTCCCACAATTCGAGCTTAAAAATGGAATCGTAACTAATTAAAGTAGTTTAAGTAGGATTAGGGTTTTGTTAATAAGTCTTTGCTCTCTCTAATTCTTTCGCCTTTCTAGATCATAGCCAGCAGCATAGCTCATAGCTGTGCTACTACTCTGCCTACTGCTGCGACTGCTCTCTGGCTGTACAGTTTACTCCCTGAGTTTTCTCTCCCATCCCACGGCTGGTGAAAAGTAAAATGCGGTAAAAGTAAAATGACTGTTTTGCAAGAAGGAAAATAAATCCGATCCACATTTTTCATTCCCAGAAAATCAGTGACCTAGATATACAAGAAGGTGATTCAACGATGTTAGTATGCATCGAATGCAATGCCGAACATTCGCACCACGAAGCAAATTGTGATGTTCTATAGTAATGGTAGGCTGATAGAGTTGCTCTATAGTGGTATTTGATTATTTGGCAGTCTTCACCTGCTTTCTTTGTCTTTTCATTTTTCTTAAAGTAATAAGAAGATCAATTTTGTAGGTTGAGGTAGTTAGGCAAATGTTTCCCTATATTTCGAAAATACGGCTTATGGCTGAGGAAACTGAAAACTTCTGATACTACAAATTAGGTCAATATCTTTGCCAGCAGTCCCAGCTAGGGAAAGATACGATAGCAGGTAAAAAACATCAATTCAATCCCATGTTAAAATCTACCATTTATGAACTCAAATGTTGTCTGTGTTATAGACTGACAACATAAAATACACAAGTAGAAGTTCACAGTGGGTACCCATAAATTTTACTCATCTTCCCCAATTTGAATTAAAATAATATTAGAAAAGAAGTATGAATTTTAAAATAAGAATTAATTTTACTAGACAATCACTCGCAAAATAATTACCTATTTGATTGAAAAAGAGGAAATCGATTACATTGTTAATTTTTTCTTGGTTATTAAATGATAAAAGTTGTAGGGGAATTCAGTTTTTAGGGCGCATGAAAATTGGAGGAAAAGATATATGATTGGACTTTATCTCAATTTACAGAGAAATTTAATATATTAAACATAACAAAAGATTGCTTGTCTCATAATGGATATAATAAATTAACAATTGATAGGTTACTCAAATGAGTAAAACTATCACTCCTTTTTTCAAACTTATTCTTGAAGATCAATTTTTCAAATTTTAGAGGTGGTTTGAGACACTTTAAAAAGAGTCTCTGTACGCCTATAAAAGGTCAGCCAAGAAAAATTGTATGATGAGGCAAAAGCTGGTAACCTTTTTTGCTTTGGCAAGAGTAAAAATTTATGATTTTGTATGAATTGTCAAATAATCGCATGTCTAAAATTGTTTTTGGTATGATCGCATGTCTAAAATTCAATATGAAGTTAATAATTCACATCTAAACCTACATACGAACAACATAATTCTTTCAATGAAAAAAAAAACACAAATTTCAACTTCAAAAAACTTATCCAACAACTAAAAAAGAAACAAAATAAAAGTTGTATGCTAACTCCCGACCGTCAACAAATTTGATCATTGTGGGAGAGCTGGCACAAAGGAAAAAAAAAAGAGTTAATAATGATTAGGATAAATAACAAATCCTCAAATTTCCCTCTCTCCTTGGTGCATGGGGTGGTTTGGAATCTACCATAGAAAGGCCTGAAACCGAAGTTTCTAAAAAGCTCACCATCTCTTCAAGCAACAAGTAGCAATTAAGCCGTCAATTGATGATTAAAGATTTAAACCACATAGATTTTTCATTTCAGGTGAATATCTTTCAATAATTTGAGTTAATAAAATTAATTAAGTGAATTGATCTCTTCGCATGTTATGTACCGAATTTAGCACAAAATTCCTCTATTAAAGACGATTTGCTCAATTGCTTCGTTTTATAAAGTGAGTCAATTCGATAGCTTGTCCCTACCTAGACAATTGAAATTGACTCAAAACGAATCATTTTACAATTTTCCAAATTCAAATTGATCTATTCAAATTTTCTGTTGGCAAACTGATCCATTTGATCTAATTATTTTGAGACAATCAAATTAAATTATTGTGTTACAATTCTTTGTCCAAACCATCTCTAAAAACCACATGACTCCCATTCATGGAAAGGGGAATTCGTGTTATATGTACCCAATCATCATCAAATCATGGCATGGCATTACACATTCCTTACCCCTTACTTTTGTTTAACAGTGACCATATCCCCATAATTCTGCATACTTTCCACTTTGAAATCCTACCTTTCCTCTTTGCTGTTCCCCATTCTTTCTGGGCTTATGGAGGAAGTAATGATTTAAAGTTAAAAGCATTTGTGTATTAGTGTATATCCACTTACACTTGTCACTTGGAGTAGTTGTCTTAAAAGTTAAACGTGGTTTTGATCTTGTGACGCCAGCTTTTATTTTAACTAATCTCCTTAATTCTCCCCTCTCTCAAGTCTCATGTTTCCCCATTTCTCCTCCTTTTCTTCCTTTAAATATATGGTGATTTTATCGAAGAAGAAAACTCGGTGTAATGATATTATTATTTATTTTCGTAATGTAAATTGCATTTTTGAATACTAACCCTCCCCACAATATGCCCCTTTCTGTTTGGTGTGCGCCCAATGGTTTGGTTCGTACCGGATCACACCGATATTTGGACCGGACCGCACCAAACCGATTATAATACGGTATGTTACTTGGTCCTATAAATTTTATAATTATAGAAGAAAAAATAGACCGAATTTATTTTTGGATAATATCGAATGCAATGATGGTCCGGTCCTTATTCCTATGATGTCTTTCACTAATGTACCACAGTTCTCATGAGTTGGTCCGGTCCGAACCGTTGCACGCCCATACTTTCTATAGCGTATTATAAAGGGTAATTTTGTAATATATACAGTTATACACTCTACATATACATTTAAGTGAAGTTTCCAAATTTGAATCAATTAAGTAGCACCCAATTAAAGCCCAAACACATACCACCTTTATAAAGAGTTCAAATCCCATAATTGATGTTTATTTTTGTCATCCTTAAAAAATATTAATAACATCCAAAAAATTTAAACTAATTACCGGCACGTCATTGATATTAGCAAGCCAATGATCTATAAGTATGATTTGGTTTTTCATACGGACGCTAGTTTCCATTCCAGGGGAATTTGTTTTTCCATATAATAGCTCTTATCCACTATTTTCTTTCCTTTTTGTTGCTATGGTTCCACAAAGGTCAACTTTGTCATGTGATTATGAATTCCTTTAATTTCATCAACGTGTGGCCTTCCCATCCGTCCGTTTGTAATTTGGTTTCTCAAGAACGTGAAATCAATGGTTATGTCTTTTCTTTTCCCGAAAGCAGAAAGATAGGGCTATGAAATGCAAAAGGTTGTACTTCAGAGTTCAGTCCATCTTCCCCCCTCACTGTCGAAGATAAATTAACAAGTTTGAGATGAATCAAGTATAAAACCCTACTAAATGAATGATCAAGATATGTCATAACCTCTTTTTTTTTTTTTTATGTTACCCTCGTCCTATTTTATTAGTTGATCCCTAAAACACACACAAAAAATGTAATTAGTTGCATTTACGTTCAGAAATTTGATGTTGTTTCAAAATGAATACGAAGAATCGGAGATAAAATGGTTATATTTTATACCCATCTGTTTATCCTTTGTTTCTCCAATAAAGAAAATACGAGGACCTAAAATGTTTGAAGAGGAATCCCACTCATCAAAGTCATTTTTATGTGTTCTCCGAGCTAAAGAGGACTAGAAAATGTTGTTGGCAACTCTTTGTCGATGGATAAGTCGATTGGGCAGGAGACAAGGCTTGGTATTGGTTAGATTTGCATCGAGGTTAGTAGTGCAACAACAAAAGTGATAGACAAGAGTAGCTTGGCTCCGGATGGGATGTTGCAGATTTTTGTGAATGTTGAGTGTTGTAACTTAGTTCTATATTTGGGACAAAATAATTACTGAAAATTTGATTGTGGTGATATAGTATTGAACGCAACATCATTTGACCACACTTGACATTTATAATTGAATCTTTCTTTAAAACAACAAACTAATTATTGTAATAAACTTTCGGAAAACTAGTATGTTTGTTATCAGTGCTATTTTTTTTTTGGTAATAAACGGAGCGCAGGGGGCGCTCCAACCCTTAACTACTAATCAATCTCGGGGTTTCAACCCCTGCACTGTCAAAGTAAAGCCAGTAACTTAACATGGGACCGGGCTTGTCAAAGACATGAACCCCTAAAGACAAAGAATGTCCCACCGACGCCAAATAGTCAGCTACGAAGTTCTCTTCTCGAAAAACATGGGTGATTCGGACTTCCCAATCCAAACTAAGCAACTGCCTTGCCGCCGCGATCAGGCCTCTATGCGGGTTATGATCCGCTGCCGTCTGAATGAGCTTGACCGCCGTAGATGAATCAGTTCACACCTCAATTCTCCTGTATCCAGCTTCCCAAGCCAGGCGAAGACCCTGGACTATTCCTGCCAGTTTCCGCGTGAGTGACTGAACCTCTACCCAAATTGATTGCAAAGGCCTTCATGAACTGGACCTCGTCATCGCGGAAAACCCCGCCTGCAGCCGTGCTCCCCATCCCGTCCACTACCGATCCATCCGTGTTCAAGCATACCCATCCCCTCGATGGCTTCCGCCAGTACAGGAGCTGAACAGAACGAGATGGCGTACCCCTCTCCTGCATGAACTCCGACCTTGACAAGGCCAGCTCGATATGGTGGCAATACTCATGCACCTGAATAGCAATCACGTTGGTCGGCAGCAGCACCTTCTCAAAAATATGACAATTTCTATTCTTCCACAGCTTCCAGCAGAAAGTTGCAAACAGAGACGACTTAATGATCTCACTGCGACCCGCAAGATAATGCGACACCCATTTCTTTAAGTCTTCATAAAAAAAGAACCTGTCCAGCTCCTCTCCCAGAACCTGTGACCATGCGTCCCGGGCGTATGGACAATCCCGTAGAACATGGAGTGTAGTTTCCGGCCCTCCTCCACATATCTTGCACAGATCAGCTTGCGACAGGTGCCTC